AATAATAATAATAATAATAGAGAAGCCGTCCTCGGCTTACAACTGAGCCCCGGAATTCTCTGGCTGAGCAAGTTGTTAAAAGTGGATTTTTTGGCCCATTTTATGACTTTTTCTTGCCACGGTCGTTAAGTGAATCTGGCTCCCCCCCCCCCCGGTTGACTGCTTTGTCAGAAGGTCGCAAAAGGGGAGACCCTGGGAACCGTCATGAATGCGACCGTGTTGTGAATTTTGATCCGTGTGACCACAGGGAGGCGGCAACGGTCGTAAAAGAGTGAAAACGGGGGGGGGGGGGCCGGACTGAGGGGCTTCAAGGGCCGCTGTAAATTTGAACGGTCCCTAAACGGACTGTTGCAAGTCGAGGACTCCCTTGGGGAGGGCGGCAGGCCTGATGGGAGGGGATTGTGGAGACACAGCTTGGTGGGGTTCGATTCCTGGTGTGTGTGTGTGTGTGTGTACATTTTCATTTTGCCTTTGATTCCGGCTGCAAAATCCTAAAGCCAGAGGCCTTCAAACTTGGGAACTTGGAGGCTTGTGGACTTCAACTCCCAGAATTCTCCAGCCAGCAGAGCTGGCTGGAGAATTCTGGGAGTTGAAGTCCACAAGCCTCCAAGTTCCCAAGTTTGGGGGGGCCCCTGTGACCCCAAGATTTCCTTCCATCACAAACATCCCACAAAGACCAGGAAATAATCCGCCTTTATTCCGACTGGGAAACCCAAGAAAGCCTCCCTCGCCTCCTGGGCTCCACAGAGTGGCAAAATGCGTCTTCATGCGCGCAGCCAATGCACAATGCCTTGCACAAAGGAGGAATAATAAATATTTGGGGGCGTGGAAGGCGAGACAGACACCCCCCCTCCCAAGAGGGGCTGAAGTGAAAAACCCTAAAACTAGCAGTATGCTTTCCCACCCCACCCCACCCCCAAAAAACAAGCTCGGTTTTGATTGATATAAACATGCATCCACACTTCCAAACATAGGGACTAGAGACTTGGGTCTCCTGCTTTGAGGCAGGACAGGCTGCTACGCCGTCGTCGTCCCCTCACCATTCGGAATAACTTACTAAGGGTGGGTGGGTTGAACCGAGGAGCGCTACAGAGCTGAGGTTGCCAGCAGGCTTTCAAACGTGGAGAATAGCAAAATGCAAACGGTGGCAGTTTTAAAAGTAGGAGTCCAATGGGCACCAGAAGGCCTTGCGGGGGGGTGTTTGGCCTTCGAAGCACATCTGGGAGGCCCCGATTGCAGCTGGCCGAGGGCACCGTTGGGCTAAATTCTTACAGCGGTTCTCTGCCAGCCCACCAGGACAGACACGGCCACCTTCTTCTCACTGAAAAGTTGTCGCTTCTCACAGGTCACCGAGGAAGGTGGGATGGGGAGGTCTTTTTCTCCTGCCCCCCTGGGCCCTTCCGGCCCCCGTCTCCCAAAGGGGCATCAAACAAGCGCTGGGACCCTGAACGGTAAAAGTCACGGGAAGAATCTCAATATTCTTCGCAGCGTCCTGGGCGAAGCTGTTTTCGGCAGGGTGGCTTCGTCCCGACTCTCTTGGGAACGGTGTGCGTTTCCAGCGCAAAGTGCCATCCAGGATTTGGGGAGGGGGTGTGTGGATTCTATAGGAGGGTCTGTACAGAGTGCAAAGATGCTTAGAAAAGCCCCGGGTTGCGTCTTCAGCTCCTGCTGCTTCCCCTCCCTTTCTCCGACGGTGGGTCGGTGGTCTCGAAGCAAAGGGAGCCCCCGGGAGTGAACCAGAGGGGCGGCTGGATCTCCGGGACGTGGCCTCACCATCTTAGCCCAAGCCAGTCCTCCACCAAAGGGGTTTGCCAGGGCAGCTGCGAGCGGCCGCTGTGCCCGGCTCTTCCTTGCCCCGGCCAGGGTTCAAACGGTTTCCGCTCGGCCCCAGTTGGAGGCCTCCGATCCGTGCCCAGCGGTGCACAAGAGCAGGTATCCCACGTGGACGATGCAGGGCCTACGTACCTGAAAAAAGGAACACAGACCGGTCAAGATGCCAGGCCCCCAAAGAGCTCTCTCAGGTGCGGGTTGGGGGGGCTGAAAGAAATTGGATTGCGGAGACCCCGCCCCGCCCCTCCTGGGCAGAGAATGGCAGGAGCGATCCATGGGGTGTGTCTGCTTGGAAGAGCTGAGTCCCCCGTGTTAAATCCTCAGTCTCTGGTGGCCGGAACACACTTGCGTCGGCATTAAAACGGGGAGGACACAGCCGTGTTTGCATGGGAACGACCCAGGTAGGAGATGATCTCGGCCCCAATTTGGGCTTTAAAAAAAAAAGGCTCGGCTCAAACTGGCCAAAATCCCTAGAATGGCCACCTCCCATAATCCACTCCGGCCACGTTCTGAAAAAGAAAAACTTGCAAATGTCGAGAGAGCTTTTAGCTTGGGGGGGGGGGAATGGAGGGTGGGGGGGAGGAACACAGAGAAGAGGCTACAGGGGGAGAGAAATTTTGGTGGAAAAGAACCATTTATGGGTAGAAAATAATTCTGAAAGACACAGAGATGGACACAAACAAACGGCTTCGAAATTAGCTTGCTTAAATGCATCCCTTCCGGGGTCAGAGGTTACAAGGTTCGGAATCCGGTTTGGGGGGGGGGCGTGGAATGTCGGTGCCGGGGGAGGGAGAGGATGGTGGGCTTTTTCACCCCCCATCTAGGAAGGCTGGAGGTGTTTCAGAAGAGCCTGGACTATCACTTGTCTGGAAACAGCATAGGATCTCCTGGTTGAGAAGGGGGTTGGACTAGAAGACCTCCGAGGCCCCTTCCAACTTGGTTATCCTGAGACCAGGAAACCGGTGGGAGTCAAGCATCCTTTGAGTTGGTCTATCTGGCAAGTCCTTGGGAGCCGAGGTGGCGCGAGTGGTTAGGGTGCAGCACTGCAGGCCACTTCAGCTGACTGTTATCTGCAGTTCGGCGGTTCAAATCTCACCGGCTCAAGGTTGACTCAACTTTCCATCCTTGCGAGGTGGGTGAAATGAGGACCCAGACTGTGGGGGCAATATGCCGACTCTGTAAACCGCTTAGAGAGGGCTGAAAGCCCTATGAAGCGGTATATAAATCTAACTGCTATTGCTATTGCCTGCCATCTGCCTGCAATTCAGCAGTTCGAATCTCACTGGCTCAAAGGTTGACTCAGCCTTCCATCCTTCCGAGGTGGGTGAAATGAGGACCCAGACTGTGGGGGCAATATGCCGACTCTGTAAACCGCTTAGAGAAGGCTGAAAGCCCTATGAAGCGGTATATAAATCGAACTGCTATTGCTATTGCTATGTTAAAGAGGCTTGATCATAACTAACTAGGATGGTTAGGTGTTTCTTTTTTAATTGATCTCGTGAAAGAAAGGGGGAAATTCCCACAGCCCCAGACAGACTTCACAGGTT